ATGTATATATCAATTGTTCCTTCTTTTTTTATTTTTTCCTTACATCATCATTGATCTGTTTAATATACAAAGAGCTTTCTAATATAAAATGGTCACTACATACAATTATACCAAAGTATTCAAATCATTCCACTCTTATACATTAAAATCATTATTGTCCTTTATATATCATATAAGTAGTACTCTATATCGTAACGGAAAAAATAAAAAAAGAAGGAAGCCTAGGTGAGGACAACCAGTCCCTATCTAGCCAACTCACCTTGGCTGAACGTTCTTGAGATCTTTTTTCCCCAACTCCCCTTCTTTCTCTCCGTTCTCCTTGTCCACTGACTCGTAGGTGGAGAGAGCCTTGTGCCGTATCTTGTGCCGTCTGTGGGGCTCTTCGGCCCCCTCCCCTTTGGAGCCAGGGTCCCCTTCTCGGTTGCCCAGCCTTGACCCTCCTCGGTGACGGGAACGTCGTTCCGTCTTGGTCCCGTTGACCGTTCCGTTGCCTTCTTTGACTTGTCGCTCAACCGGATGCCGATGGCCGCGGTGGCGGCGATGTTCCCTCTCAGCGCCTTCTTCGACGGACCCCCGGCGGTGGTGATGCCTGCCGCCCTCCTGGCTTCTGTTGCGTTCGCTCTTCCCTTCTTTCCCACCCGCTTCGCCCACCTCTTTGCTACGACTCCGGTGCGGCCGGTGGCGTTCCTCCTTGTTGTTACCGCCAGCCAGTTCCCCGTTCTCTTCCTTGACAGCATTGCTTTTTTCCGTGTCTCCTGTTTTCTCCTTCTCACGATGGCGGTGGTGTTTCCTCAGAACCTCGTTGTTCTCAGGCGACGGGGCCTTCACCTGGTCTGAAGCCTCCTGACCCTCCGTGGGGCTCACGTCGTTGCCGTTGCCTCCGCGGCCTTCGCTCCTCGGCTCGACCACCAGAGGTCGGTCCATGTGAGTCTTCATATCCGGGCGGATGTGGAGGTTGGTGGCGTAGCGGACTCTGTCCTCCGGGTCCATCTCGTTGTACAAGGCTTCACAACTAGTGCGGAAGTTGTACACGCGGAGCTGGCTGGTCCTCTGTTCCCACACGGATTTAGATTTGATGGAATTCTGCTGTTTGCTACAGAAGAGAGAGGCAGAGAGGAATGTGGGAAGGGGAAGAGAAGAGTGGAAAGGGGAGGGGAGGGATTAGAGTTGGGAGACGGTACCTTTGCATTTGACAAAGCCAATGACATGACTTTCATCTGGGACTTCCAGTCTCTCAAAGCTGAGAGAAAATGTGACCTGTGGAGATTCTCAGTCCTCCAGGCCGTGGTTGTGTCAAAGGTGCTTTTTTTCACTCCAAACGACAACTGGACTTTGTTTTCAAGTGGTACAGTGGCCTAGAGGTGGCGCTCTCACCTCACAATAGGGAGGCTGTGAGTTCAATCCTGGGTAGAGGCTGATATTTCTCTCTCTCTGGGCACAATGAGAATATATCTGCTGAACAAAACTCCACCCTGGCAACAGGGAAGGGCATCTGGCCACGAAACACTCTGCTAGCTCCATTCAGTTGCCCACAGTCTACCCCGCAGGGGTTTATGGGGTCATTAAAAGATGATGAACTGGACTTTGTTTTTCCTTAAAGACGTTTCGCTCCTCATCCGAGAAGCTTCCTCGGTTCTTCCAATTAAAGAGGCTTCTTGGATGAGAAGCGAAACGTCTTCAAGTAAAAAACAAAGTCCGGTTGCCTTTATGAAAAAAGCACCTCTGGGACATTGGCCATAAAAACGACAAGATACACCGAAAGAGATGAATCTAATAGGAAAGGAAAAGCCCTAACTTTCGTCAAGTGGATCTGTACTGTAAAAGGAGAATATATGTCACTTAAGGATGACATGAGGGTCCTTGGTGCTCGCTGAGCTTGGTTGTTTCCTCGTAGTTGTTTCTTGACCCAACTACGTAACATCATCAGTGCTGAGAAGGATCAAAAGCCCCCTCAGATCTGTACAGAATATCCCACTTTTGAGGATTAAAACATGCCTAGCATCCAGGATTTAATGTAACTTCATGGTCCAATTTCCCAGCTGCAGGAAGGTAAAGTTTCCCCTCGCACATATGTGCCGTGTTGTTCCCGACTCTAGGGGGCGGTTCTCATCTACGTTTCAAAGCCGAAGAGCCAGTGCTGTCCGAAGACGTCTCTGTGGTCATTTGGCTGGCATGACAAAATGTCAAAGACACACAAAACACTGTTCCCTTCCCACCAAAGGCGGTCCCTATTTCTTCTACTTGGATTTTTACGTGCTTTCGAAGTGCTAGGTTGGCAGAAGCTGGGACAAGACACAGGAGCTCACTCCGTTATGCGGAGCTAGGGATTCGAACTGCCAGACTGCCGACCTTTCTGATCGATAAGCTCAGCGTCTTAGCCACCGAGCCACCACATCCAATTTCCCAGTTGCAAAAAACCTTCCTCTAACGCCTCTCTTCTTCGATGGAGATATTTTTTGGGGGGTTAACCCTGGGAATAAATCTCCCAGCAATTGCAGCATCTACTCTCTCTACACTCTTCAATCATCAGAAAAATATATAAAGTGGGAACAAGCTTTAGAAGTGAAAATAAATTCTACTCCTAATGGAGATTTGAAGAAAAGTAACATTATTTTCTCCCAGGATAGCATATCGGCTTACCTGCTTTCTATCTCATGCTCAATGGCATTGTACTTTCTGTCCCATAAGAACAGCTGGAAACTGTGTTTCCCAAAACAGTTATTTCAGCTACAGCTGGACCATGAAAAGATTTCCCCAACCCTCCACTGCTTTCTGTCTGCTGAAAGACTGAATAAAAGAGATATTTTCTAGTCACTTTTCAAGGGCAGGACTCCTCACGCAATATAACCCCCATTCCCGAAAAGGTCCTTGGAAAAGTTATTTTGTGCTTAAAAATTTAAAAAGGAAGACATCAAGGAATGGCAATAAAATTTGACTTTAGCAATAGCAATAGCACTTAGCACTTAGACTTATATACTGCTTTAGAGTGCTTTTACAGCCCTCACTAAGTGGTTTACAGAGTCAGCCTCTTGCTCCCAAACAATCAGGGTCCTCATTTTACAGACCATGGAAGGATGAGTCAACCTTGAGCCTGGTGGGATTCGAACTGCCAAATACCGGCAGTCAGCAGAAGTAGCCTGCAATACTGCATTCTAACCACTGCGCCACCACAGCTCCTAATGCAACATCCAATAAGCTACGACAATAGCAATATACTTATATGCCGCTTCATAGTGCTTTTACAGCCCTCTCTAAATGGTTTTACAGAGTCAGCCTCTTGCCCCCAACAATCTGAATCCTCTTTTTACCCGACTTGGCAGGATGGAAGGCTGAGTCAAACTTGACCCTGGTGGGATTTGAACTGCTGAACTGCAGCTAGCAGTCAGCTGAAGTAGCCTGCAGTGCTGCACTCTAACCACTGCGCTATCGAGGCTCTTACCAGAAAGATAGATATTAAAAAAAACTAAGCAAGTCTTACTCTAAGGAATCTGTGGCATAGCATGATGAATTTCTAATCACCATTATGAAATAAACCCCTTTATGGTAAAAGAAAAAAAATGGGTATGTTAAACTTGATAAAACCTGACTCTTAGCAACGCAGAGGTAATTAAATTAATGAAATGATGGGAAGTCTGAACGCCAGGCTCCTCTCATCAATTTTTCAATGAGTTAACTAAATTTTATTCTGAGTAATGGGGACGTAACAATGATTTCTCTTGCACTAGGAAATAAACGCAAGGGAATTTTCCTGAGACTGGCATCCAGGAGGAGAGAAGGGGTATTTTCTCTTTAAAAGAATGACAGAATAACAGAGCGGGAAGGGACCTTGGAAGTCTTCTAGTCCAACTCCCTGCTCAGGCAGGAAATCCTACACCACCCTATACCATTTCAATGGTCCAATCTCTTCTTAAAAGCCTCCAATGTTGGAGCACCCACAGATTCTGGAGGCAAGCTGTTCCACTGATAAATATCAGGAAATTTCTCTTTATTTCTAGGTTGCTTCTCTCCTTGATTAGCTTCCACCCGTTGCTTCTTGTCCTGCCCTCAGGTGCTTTGGAGGATAGCTTGACTCCCTTTTCTTGGGGGCAACCCCTGAGATATTGAAACCCTGCTATCGTGTCTCTCCCATTCCTTCATTTCATTAAACTGGATCTACCCAATTCCCACAGCAGATCTTCATCATCCTTTTCTTCTTGAAACCTGCAAGATTCATGCACTTAGATGTGCTAGCTTACCCTGGACCTAGAATCCCAGAAGGAAAACCATTGGTCACTCCATCACCGATAAGAGGGTGGGACTCAAACGCGTTGAACTGAGTGGGAAAACCCCTCGGCAGCATCCTCATAAAGGTAAAGGTTCCCCTCGCACGTATGTGCTAGTCATTCCCGACTCTAGGGGGCGGTGCTCATCTCTGTTTCAAAGTGGGCCACAAAAGAACGGATCCTTTCTTATCATCGCGGGTTGGCGGAGGGGGAAACACGAGGTGGGAAAATAGCTATTCCTTGGGGGGGGGGTGATGGCAAAGCGTAGAACCAACCTTTTCATCACTAATCACGAAGAGCCATAAAGGAAGGAGGCGAAAGGGAAGAGGCAGGGGCACAGGGAACATGCAAGGGCATGGATGTGGAGCCGGGGTGGGGGAGGGGAGGAGAAGAACATGAGAAGTACAAAGTCACACGTGGGGAAACGCTTGGAAGCAGCTCACAAAATGTTTGCAGGGACATGTTGCCCGATTGATGCTCCGTTATGAATTTCCAACAATGAGAGAGATGACTTAAAGCTGGGGAGGGAAACAGGGGAGGGAAAAGTTCTCTTTGGAATTTTTTTTTTCATTTATAGATACCATATTTTTCAGAGTATAAGACGCACCTCTCTCCCCCCCCCCAAAAAAGAGTGTGGAAATGTTGATGAGTCTTATGCACCAAATACAGCCATTTCTGGCCTCCAGAAGCCTAGCCCACACATTCCCATTTTTTGCAAAAAAAACAGGCAGTTTTTTTTCAAAAATGGGGGTATTTTTGCTTTCCCCAGCCCCCAGAAGGACTCTGCAGAAGTCTGCAGAGTCCTTCTGGGGGCTGGGGGAAAGCAAAAATACCCCCATTTTTGAAAAAAATGGCCAGTTTTACACAAAAATGAGGGCATTTTTGCCTCGCCCACCCACCCTGCTGAAGCCTGCAGAGTGCTGCTGGGGGCCAGGGAGGACAAAAACTTTTTTTCCCCTTACTTACCTCTTCGAAATCTTGGTGCGTCTTATACACCGGTGCGTCTTATAGTCCGAAAAAATATGGTAGATAAGCTACATTGACTGAATATTGTATATGGAGGGCAACTCACGGTGAATTTACGCTGGAGAGCGACGAGCTGCGAGAAACAGACCCTCGACTTTGCTTTACAAAACTGCACATGCGAGAAACAGAAGAATATAACAGTGAGAGGGGGGAAAAAACCAAAACCATGGGAAAAACCTCTAAAGAGGAAAAAAAAAGGAAGGGAAGGAGGGAGAGAGAGAGAGATATCGAAGGAGCATTTAACCGACTCCTGGAACCGAGAAGGTGCAGGCTGGGAACGTGCATTTTGGAAGGAGAATCGTGTCGGCGAACTTCAGGATAAGAATTTGGGATGAGCTGAGGGATCATCTGTTAAACCAAAGAGGGAAGGAGGAATAAAGCATAATTTAAACAAAAGAAAATTAAAACTGAAAAACAAGGGTTGAATCTGATGTTTTCTACAGCTTCTTTTTCCTCGCCAACATTGTATCCTGTAAACGTCACTCCTCGTGATTGACATTTCGATTCGGAGAACTGTGGGGTCTTTGGTGTCCTCAGCTGGGTGGTTCCCTGGCAGATGTTTCGTGACCCAACTAGGTGACACCATCAGTGCTAGAAGGGGGTCTGTGGGGAGGAGGAGGAGGAGGACTGTGGGGTCTTTGGTGCTCTCTAACTGGGGTGTTTTCTTGAAGATGTTTCATGACCCAACTATGTGACATTATCAGTGCTAGAAGGGGTTGGGATTTGCGGAGAGGAGAAGGAGAAAGTGAGATGGATGAGTTGGTTGGTTGGTTGGTTGAGAAGGAAGGATGGAAGGAAGGAAGGAAGGAGATGTGGAGAAGAAGGAAGGGAGGGTGGGTGAAAGGAAGGAAAGAGTGGAGGGGAAGGAAAGAAAGGGAAGGAAAGGAAAGAGGGAGAAGGAGTGAAGGAAGGAAGGAGATGTGGATAAGAAGGAAGGGAGGGTGAGTGGGAGGAAGGAAAGAGTGGAGGGGAAGGAAAGGAAANAAGTGAGCAGGGCTTCCTCTCCTTCTACCTACCAAGCCCCTCCTAAATCCCTGCTTATCAAGGGGTGACTTACGGGTTGGTTGGGCTTAAGACGAACATGGAGCTGTAGGGAAGGATCGGCTTGGGTGGACTGTTGGCCATCTCATCTTCAGCATCCATGTCCTTCTTCTCTTCCATTTTGGCTTCAAATTCAACGTTGTTCACTAAAGGGTTGACAAAGATAACACTACATCTCAAAATGAGAGCTTCTGAATAGGGTTGGAGCATAGTATTTTGTTGCTGTGGCCAAGAACAAACTAGCCACTTCTATTTTGTGAATAAAACCCGAACAAATTAGTCGTTTCTTCTAGGTATTTGTCCTTGACGGAAACAAGACTTATATATTGCTTCATGGTGCTTTCACAACCCTCGCTAAGCGGTTTACAGAGTCAGCCTCTTGCCCCCAACAATCTGGGTCCTCATTTGACCCACCTCAGAAGGATGGAAGGCCGAGTCAACCTTGAGCCGGTCAGGTTTGAACTGCTGACAGTCGGCACAATTAGCCTGCTATACTGCATTCTAAGCACTGTTCTACCAAGGCTCCTAACACCAATACCACTAGCACTTAGACTTACATACTACTTCCTACTGCTTTTAAAGCCCTCTCTAAGCAGTTTACAGAGTAAGCATATTTCCCCCAAACAATCTGGGTCCTCATTTGACCCACCTCTGAAGGACGGAAGGCTGAGTCAACTTTGAACCTGGTGAGATTCGAACTGCCAAATTGCAGGCAGGCAGCAGAAGTAGCCTGCAGTACCGCAGTCTGACCACTGCGCCACCACAGCTCATAAATTCTGGGCTCAAAGGAGCTTCTGATGTTCGAAACACTCACTTGGTATGACGGAAGCCTCCCCGGGGGGAGCGGTGACGGTGACGGGAATGTTCACAGGGGCAGCTTTGTCCAAAGAGGGTTGACCCATACGTGTGACGTTCTTCTGGTTGTCCGCATCTTCCGGCTGCTCCGGCACCCTCTGCAGGCAGGTGCTGGGCAAGGTGTGCAAAGGGACCACAGTCACACTGATGCTTGCCTCGGTGTCACACTGTCCTTCTCTGCAGAGCAAGAACAAAGTTAAGGAATGATCCCGTTTCTTCCATCCCAATGTTTTGGCTCACTGGCTTTCGACGGCATCTTTATGTTCTGAGCCAGGCTTCCTTAGAAAGCAAGAAGCTAAGTTTTCGTCCCAAGAAAACCTCTTTTATTTACACGGCTGTGAATTCCTTTCATTCACAGTCAGCAAAAGTTTTGCTGGGAAGTGCGGTGAGGTTTATGGCTGGTGAGGCACTCGTTTCAATTTTTTTTAGACTTGTGGACTTCAACTTCCAGAATTCCACAGCCAGGCATGCTCAGTTCCGATTTAAAGCGACAGCATTTGTTTTTCTCCTGTGCGAAAAAGTTTTCCTTCATTCTTTTTCTTCTCAGACTAAATGAGGCACGTGGTTCTCCCGCCTCCTCCTGTAGANAAAATGAGAGAGAATGAGAGAGAGAATGAGAAAGAGAGAACGAGAGAGAGAAAATGAGAGAGAGAGAATGAGAAAGAGAGAATGAGAAAGAGAGAGAGAGAATGAGAGAAGGTGAAGGAGAGAGTGATTGTCACACGGATGGACCTCAGCAAGTTTGACTGAGTTATAAGTACTGTTGTCACCAAAACTAGGCTCTTGCTTGGCGTCGAAGGCGATAAATCACTGGACGCAAGATATGATACAGAATTATACTTTTATCTTGATACCAAGGTATAAGGACCCCGGTTTGAAAAGCTAACCAAAGGAACCAAGATTAGGACCTTACAGCAGTTTTTATAGTCAAGGGATGCTTGCGTTCAACCCTTTGTCCCTCCCCTAACAATGCATGCATAAGAGATAGTATTGATCGGTTATCTGCATTTCAGCCCACTCCGAAATTCTTACGCTTGTTATGTTACATAGCTAAATGTAACATCACCTGTTTTTCACCCCGGGTCACGGGTATCTCACAAAGTGTGCACAGCTATGTGGGTTTGGGATTTTTTTTTTATTATAAGCAAGCTATTCTTGTTCCTAATATCCTGGCTAGTATGTTTTAAGGTGCTAACTTCTGTCTCGCTGTTAATGTGCAGCCCCCACCGCCCTTCCTATTGCAGAGCAGAATAAAAGAACAGTTTTATGTGAGACAGCTCCCTCGCAGTTTAAAACCTTTGTCTGAGACCCTCACACTCCCCCAGCGTGCCTATATAGAACGCTGTTACCGTCGCACCAGAGTGGTACCTATTCATCTACTCGCATTTCAAATGGCTCGGTGGGCCGGAGCTGAGCTGAGGACGGGAGCTCAGCCGGTTTCGTGGCATTGGGTCTCAAACCCGGGATATCAGTTCTCCAGCTGACAAGCTCAGCATCTTTTAACACTCCCCACCACCACCACCAAAGGATGCTAACGGTTAGACGATCTGCTTAACTTCCATTGAAGGAACCCCCTTCTGGTTCACTGAACTCCAACGGGGATTTCTAGGTGCGGAGGGCAGTCAATTTCAGTTTCCACCCCCCACCCCCCAAAAAAGCACCGCATGGCTCTTGTTTTCCACTCCAGGAAATCGGAGCTCAGGAAGAAAAGCTACTTACGAAAAGGCAAAGGCAACAAGAGCTCCACTGACCACGATGAAGTCGAGGATGTTCCAGAGATCGCGGAAATAGGCGCCGGGATGCAGCAGAAGTCCCAAATCAATCATCTTCGGGAGGAAAAAGAGAGAGAGCGAGAGAGAAAGACGTGAAGGATGCCGGGAGGAGGAAAAATGGGAGAAAGGATGATGTCCCTATTGTTTTTGGACTTCACGTAGCACGGGTGATGTTAGCTAGTTTGGGTTGTGACACCTCTGCAAGAAAGCCACCAGTTTTCTCCCTCCTCCTCCTTGTCTTCCCCCTCCTCCTCCAATCCCTCTCTCTTCTAGCACTGATGATGTTATCTAGTTGGGTATTGAAACGTTTGCAAGAAAACCACCAAGCTCAGAGAGCACCAAGGAACCTACAGTCTCCTTCCTCCGCCTTCCTGTCTTCCTCCTCACAAATTCCCTTCTCTTCTAGCACTGATGATATTATCTAGTTGGATAATGAAACAACCAAGCTCAGAAAACGCCAGGGACTCCTCATTTAAACCTTGAGCTACAAATATTCTCCTTTATTGGTGTATTCTTGCACATCCTCAAACATCCAGGTGGATTTCATAGGGTACAATTATTATATACAGGCAAATGAGTGGTCCAATATCATGCCTGTGTATTGGTTCCTCTGTAGATATGCGCCTAAGAGATCTGGGGAAAGATTCTTACCTTTATCACCATCTCAAAGGTAAAGACACCTGTAAATATATAATCCAGGTACTTGAGAGCCTGAAAACAGAAAGAGCAGTTCAAAAGTTAAAAGGCGCCGGAGTAAATTGAATCCAAAGAAAAATACATTATAGCAATGGCCCTTATACTTATATACCACTTCACAGTGCTTTTACAGCCCTCTCTAAGCGGTTTACAGAGTCAGCCTCTTGCCCCCAACCATCTGCCAAGGTGGCGCAGTGGTTAAATGCAGCACTGCAGGCTACTGCTAGATCAGCAGGTCAGCGGTTCAAATCTCACCGGCTCAGGGTTGACTCAGCCTTCCATCCTTCCGAGGTGGGTAAAATGAGGACCCAGATTGTTGGGGGCAATATGCTGACTCTCTGTAAACCGCTTAGAGAGGCCTGTAAGGCCTATGAAGCGGTATATAAGTCTACTGCTATTGCATCTGGGTCCTCATTTTACTCACCTCGGAAGGGACGGAAGGCTGATCACTTTGAGCCGGTCAGGATCAAACTACTGGCAGTGGGCAGAATCAGCCTGCAATATTGCATTCTAACCACTCTGCCACCATAGCTCCTAACGCAACATCCAATTAGCTACAACAATAGCAATAGACTTATATACCGCTTCGTAGTGCTTCCCAGCCCTCTCTAACTCTGCCGACTGCCACCAGTTAGATCCTGACCCGCTCAAGGTTGACTGAGCCTTCCACCTTTCCGAGGTTGAGGACCTGGATTGTTGGGTGGGGTGGGGTGGGCAAATATGGTGACTCTGTAAACTGCTCAGT